GAATCGTGATCTCAATTCTAAGCCAAAAAATTGTGATTCTCATTTTATGCAAAATCGTGCAGCCCTAGTATTTACCTTTTAGTTTAAAGAATGGTCAAGTGTTTTTATTATAGAAATAAAATTGAATTAACTGTATGTAAAGCAACATTTAATACAGACCTGAGAATTTCCAGTCTACACTGTAGACTTGCCAGTCCGGCAGAAAGGAGTTTAACTCCTGAATCTTCTAGGTCATTGTTACTCAGGTCCAACTCTCTCAGATTAGATGACGGTGAGCTGACAACTGAGGACAGAGCTTCACAGCTTCTTTTTGACAGATTACAGCCACTCAACCTGGAGGAGAGTTAGTGATAAATTGACCTGTACATCAAATACAATCAGATCCATATTGACTGGAAAGAAGTTTTGTGGCCCAGTGATATCTGTTCCCTAATTTTTCCCAGCAGATAAAAGGTTAATTCCAAGTGTTAAACTTGTATTTGGCACCTATTCATTAGAAGTATCAATATTCAATATTTATGCTCTAAAATATAAAACTTTAGATTTAACTGTTGTACTTTATTTTTAGCATGACTGCATGCTGGTTTGTTGAACCATTTCATGATTGTTTAATTTCAATACAAAACTATAAACAAAGCCTTTGATGAATAGACTCCTAAATGAATTGCAGCCTGGCCGGGCTCAGCCCAAAGCAGGGGCACTGGCCCACCCCTTGTAGGCCCACCACCGACAGGAGGCACCAGAGGGGTTGGGTGAAATGTGTGCTGGGCGGCAGCCAGGCGTAGAGATCCTGGCAGACTGATCCTTGGCTACCAAGACTAGCGTTACCCCTCTGATGGTAAAGGAGCCTATGCTAGGTTGAGAGGTACCGGCAAGATATAGTCGGGCTCACCTCAAAACACAGCTTGAGCTCCAGAACCCGTCTCCTGGAGAGGGACTGGACTCTCTCTCAGTCTGGTGTTACCCTTGGTGAGAGGCGGTAGGCTGGGGTGGGTATCTCAGTATCCCCTCGACTTGCACCTGTATGTTGGAGTTTTTCCCAGTGGACGAGAGGATTTGTTATTCGTCTGTACTTATTCACCAAAAGACAGTTTTGAGTACCCAGCCTTCTTGGAGTGGATGGGGTGCTTGAGGGTGCTCTACCTTACTAGGAAATTTCCCCACTCATATGGGCAACAACAGTGAGACCGAATGGTGCTGTGTTATTGGACTGCGTAAACCACAGTTTCGCAATAA